CCTTGAGGTCATTCAGTTACTGAGGTCTTAAGCTTTGAGAGGCAGCTGGTTTGTAGAGGAGGAGAGCTCCAGGACCTGGGTTCAGTTCTCAGCTCTGGTAACTACTCTGTGACTTGAGGCAAGTTAGCTCTCCTCTGCAGGTCTGTGTAAAATAAGAGGATTCACTAAGTCTCCTTCCAGCTCTTATCTGATCCTATGATACCACAATAGGAACAAATTGCATTCTGGTCTATGTGTTATGCCCTCTAGGCATCTAGATGGTTCAGTGCACAGAGTGCTGAAGTCAGGAAATCTCGCTTCAGTTAAAATCCTGCTTCTGACACTCACTAGCTGTGTGAAGCTGGACACGTCACCTCATCTCTCTGTGACTCAATTTCTTCAGCTGCAAAATAGGGAGAATAATTGTGCCTACCTCCCAACCCTATCTCACAGGGTTGCTGTGAGGATAAAATGAGATAATGTGAGTAAAGCCCTTTGTGAGCCTTAAAGCCGTATATAAATGCTAACTATCATTACTATACGTGATAGCTATCTTTTAGGTGATAAGCTCCATGAGGCCAGGAACCAAGGTTTGTTAATCTTTGTAGATTCCCCAGCACCAAGCACCTGCTTTGCACATAGTAAGAGCTTTATTAAATGGTTGTTGAATGAATGAATGCCTTCTGAATGACTCTCTCTCTTCCAACACAGGCACTCAGAAGAAAAGAGCCAGGAACTCTTGCCACACCGTGGATGGGATTGTTGAGGGAGACATTCTGCTCGCACTGAATGTCTCCCAAGGGACAGAAATCCAAGAGATTGAATGGAGGTTTAATTCTGAGAAGCTTCAGCTGCTCTCCCTTCAGCCTGGGAGCCACTCTTTTCTTTGGTACAGCCCCTTGGACAGATACAAAAAGAGGCTGGATGCCATGGATAATGGCTCCCTCATCATTAGGAATGTGACTCTCAAGGACAGTGGATTGTATGAGGCTCGGGTCTTACTCATTTCTGGAGTGTTCAATGTTCATTCCTTTGCCCTCTCCATCTATGGTAAATATGGCTCCAAAGGCTAGGGAGCCTAGAATCATAGCACCCCAGAGTTGAAAGGGACCTCAGTGGTCATCTAGTCCAGGGCTTCTCAAACTTTTTTCACTCATGACCCCTTTTCAAGGTTCAGCTGCTTTTGTTGATGTTGTGTGGCCTGAGAGTCTACACAATGCAAAGTGCCCACGCTTTGTGTTCAGAACCAAGGCTGCAGTGAAATCCTATTGCAGTGGGAGAACATTTCAGAGTGGTAAGAATACCAAAGCCAGAGTCCTTCCAAGCAGGGCTTTATTGTAGTAAAAGCAAAGGGAACCAAGCAGCTCAGGATACTGGTTGGTTGGGTGAAAGAGGAATGGGGACTTGCTTATATCAGATCTGAAGGGGGAGTGACTTATGGAAATTGCTATGGCATAATCTTTGTACTATGCAAACAAAAAAAAAAGACTTATGCCTGTGCTTCACTGAGTCTTCTGAGTAGCTATCATGAAATAGCTCTACTTTCACTCTCGAGAGTCCCTTCATTATCATATTCATGAGATGTTAATGGAGGCTTTGACATCACATGAGTTATTATCTGGCACTGAGGAGTCCTATTGCTCTTTCCAGGTCTTAGGAAAGTCCTTTGACCACAAGGTTGCTGGTGATAGGGTGGGCTACAGAATGGTGAGGTTGCCTATTCAGCATATGGGGGAAGTAGTTGTGTGTGCAGCAGATGGGGGAAAGAGCTGAGAATATAGGGGAAAGGGTTGCCTAATCAACATGTAGGGGAAAGATGGGGCCTCACTTCTCTGGGGGAAAAATAGGACTTTGCTGTTCCTACTCCACCAGGAGGCAACATGGGCAAGAGCTGCCAGAAACACCTCAGATTCATTACACATTTGATTATTAAATAATTTCTGGCATTCAGAATTTTTGGTGTTCAAAAACCTTTTACTTTTGCCACATTTGGGGGTCATAACCCACAGTTTAAGAAGCACTGATTGTAGTACAACCTGTAACCTCAGGGAAATCCTTCTGCAGCATCCCAGGCAAGTAGTCATTCTATCTCTGATGAAAGACTTCCCTCACCACAGAACTCATGACCATGTCCTGACTCACTGCAAAGTAGCTCTGCTGTGAGGTTTCTTAGAAGCTATCCAGAATGAATCCTTCTCTACTCTCTCTGAACTCCATTCCACAGTCTTTGGCTTGCATAATGGACAAAGAACAGCTTGTCTGTACTTGTTCTGTTCTGTTTTGTTTTAGATAGCTAGGTGGATAGAATCCTGGACTTGGGAGTCAGAGAGACCCGAGTTCACATGTGGGCTCATAGACTTCCTATGTGTGTGACTCTGCTGATGCTGCTATGACTAATTTTTCTTCTTCTATACTCCTGTCTTTATTCTCCTCCTATTCTCTTTTTTCATCTCTTGGGAGTAAATTGCCCAGACTAATTCCCACCCATCATCCCAACCAGCCTGAACTGTCTCCTATTCTACATGGCCAATTCTCTGTTTTTCATCCAACAGAGCCTGTGAATGTGTACTCCTGCCCCTTGAAGTGGATTCTCCTGTGGAAGAGGCTTGTCCTCCTTGGGATCCTCTTGTGGACACTGGGCAGCAGGTTCACCCTGGACAAGGGGCAAACTGAAGAGGGCCCAGCTAAGAAGCTCCAGGTCACCAAGCCCCACCACTTCGACTAGGAAAAGACATGTCATTGGTCAACAAACAATGATGGAAGCCCCCATCCCCTCCTACTGTTAAAAAAGAAATCAACATACTGAAACCAACCAGGACCCTCCAGCCATAATTTGCATGCTTGGCCAATGGATAGAGCTACCGTTTGGCCTCCCTCTACTCATGCCAAGGCTAACAAGAAAGGCTGAGAGGTCTTCCTCCCCCTGATGTGGCAGATTACAGAGTTAATAGTGTTAGAATCATTGATGTATTATCCTCCAGGCTGCTGGGACCTCAGGGTCAGTGAGGGAGGTGTCTCTGCCCACAAGAAGAAGCTGGTCAGAAGAGTAAAGTCATACCTGACTTTGTCCTCCACCAAGGCATAGTCCTAAACAGACACGAACCTTCTATTTTATTCACGATTTCCCTTCTGCCTTTATGTCACAGGGCCTTTTCTATATGCCCAAGTCACCAAATTATATTTTAGGTCTTGATAATGATGGCATAATTCCATCCACCTGCATGTTTCATTCTCCTAGAACTGCCCAGCAGTCACCTCACAGAGCTCTGTGTCCCTGGGCAAGAATGAGATTCATAGGAATGACTTCCATGAAGTCTTCTTAGCAGCCTTCCATTATGAAGCTATTAGCTCCATGGTGGCAGGAACCCTGTATTATCTAATATTTCTGTATTACCAAGTACCCACCACAGTGCTTTGCACATAGTAGGAGATTAAAAGTTCACTGCTTAACCTATCCAGATATATTCTCTCACAACCTATAATAGGTACTGGTTTTTTGTTGTTGCTGCTGTTCATTCATGGTCATATCCAACTCTTTGTGACCTCATTTGGGGTTTTCTTGGCAAAGATACCGCACTGGTTTGCCATTTCCTTCTCCAGCTCACGTTACAGAAGAGCATCTGAGGTGAACAGGGTTAAGTTCCTTGCCCAAGGTCTCACAGCTAGTAAGTGTTCAAGACCAGATCTGAGCTCAGAAAGATGAATCTTCCTGACTTCAGGCCTGGCACTCTATTGGCTGTGCTACCTAGCTGCCTCTACTGGCTCACTACTCAGTTACGGTGAGAGTAATTTTGGGGTGGGACCCCAAATCAATCAAACCATCCAGCTTCATTTAAAATAGTGTGAAGATGCTAAGCCCTGTTATATTTATCAGATGAGAATATATCTTAATTATGCACTAGGTGTGAACAAGGCCTAGGTATGACAGAATGAACTCCACTTGACACCAACCTGGAGGAGTTAAGAAAGCTGTGTCTTGAGTACCATATCCTAAGGCCATGTCCCACCATCACTGTCAAAATCCAGCCAGGATATTGGAGTTGAGGAAAATCAGATCATGTCTTTGTCTTCTCTTTCTCTCCCTCTCCCTCTCCCTCTGTTTTTCTGTCTCTATCTCACTGTCTCTCCCCTCACGCCAATTGTCGGGCATGGGAAATGCAAGACGGATTTAGTGCCATCACTCTCATTACACTGTATACTCTAGAAAAACTTTTGATGTCACTAGTAGCGGAAGTGGGATGGGGGAGGGGTGCGGAGGAAAGTGGAGAACAGAAGGGGGCGGAGGAGTTTGGGCATCCAGGGGCTGGTTCCTAGCCCGGCAGGAATTGTGACCTGCAAGCCGGGTTAGGGAGGGTGCACCCGGCGTGATGTGCAGCTTGGTGACGTTCAGTCTCACTAGGCCGTGTACTCTGTAAAAACCCAGAATCTTGCTAGCCCCTGGGACGGGGATAGGGCTAGGGACGGGGCCAGGGGTAGAGGGGGCGGGGCCGGGGCTAGTGGCATCAGGCGGGGCTAGTGGCTGAGGCAAGTTTCAATGGAATTGTCCTGCCAGTTAGGTGCAAGACGGCTCAGCGGCGATTAGTCCGAGGCGAGGTGGCGAGGCGGATGGGGATCAGTGAGTGAGTTGGCCCAGGCCGGGGAGCTGACTGAAGGCGGACCTGGCTATCCTGTCTGCTGCGGGGGGGGGGGGAGGGCCGGCGCAGGGGACTAAGGACAGTGGCCCGCCGGGCCGGGGGTGGCCGGAGCAGCCCAGGAGAAGCACCCCCGGGGCCCTCGCGGGCTCCCGGCTACCTAGCGGAAGCGGCGGTGGCGAGAGCTCGACCAGGACGGTTGGGAGACCACCTGGGAGCATCGGTGGCTGCGGGCTTTTTCCTTTCCCCCGGTCACACCTGCCCCCCGCCGCAGAGCGGGGCAGGGTCCCCAGAGAAGTGGAGGGGGATTCCCCGCCTCCGGGCCGCCGGCCCTTCCACTCTGAGCGGCGAGTCTGGGATTCTGGGGGCCCTGGGGGCCCCGGGGACCCCGGAGCACTGCTAGGAAACTTCGGTAGAAGATGGAGGGGGCGGGGAAGTCCTCCCAGGGCTTTACAGGAGTTCCTCTTATGTGATCTGTATAACAACCCTGTGAGCTGGGTGCTATTATGATCTGTATTCCACAAATGAGGAAATCTGAAGATTTACACTCTAGTGCTCCTCACTCCAGACTGGGTGCTCCATTCCATGCCTCTAGCAATTGGGATGGGGGTGGAGGGAAGGAGGAGGGTTACTAGTGTGGCTACGGGGGAGATGGCAAGATGCCAGGGTAGGTGCTGGTTGGTGGCTGGAATGTGAAGCAGGGGGCTGCCTAGATGGAGCTAGAGAGATAGAGGATGAAGTGAGTTTGCTCTCACTCATCCACCCACCCATCTTGAAGGTTCAGGCCCAAGGCTGAGTTCTCAAACTGAGCAGATGAACAGGGGGGAAGAGGGAGGTTGGAAACAAGGTCTCTGGGGAAAAGGGGGAAGAGTTCCAGGGGGAGGGAGGAAGAGGGAAAGCCCATTGTCAGGACAGTTAATAAGATGTCCCTGCCTCCTAGTGGATTCCTGGGTTGGATGTAAAGAGCAGGCTGGTCTCAGAGGAGATAGCATTCACTATTTAGTTTGGAGTATGACTGAATAAGTGGGAATTCATGTAAAATCTTTTTGCAAATGCAGGGAGCACCAGTGCAGAAAGCTGTACCTGTCCTAGACCGGCACACAAGTTGGCAAGGCCAGTTGAAACCAAGATAGAAGGCCATCACAGGAAAAGCTTGAACCATTTACTGAGCACGCTAGCTAGAGCAGTGTTTGAGTTCATGGGTCACACATGGAGCCTGCCACCATTTCTCTTTACCTGGGTTCTGCTGAATTCTTGCAGTCAAGTCACAGGTGAGTGATTGCACCCAACTAGTCCTACCCATACTCTGGGACTCTCAGCTGGAGTTCACAAAGTTGGGGTGAGGTGGTTGGAGATGGGAAAGAGGAGAAGGAAAGGGGGGAGGGCCAAGGCCCCAGGAGTTGTAGGGGGGAGAGAGGAGCAAGAAGAAAAGGGAGGGGATAGGGACAATACCTATAAAGATATGTATGTCTGTGTGTGTATTATATCGTATACCATTAATTTAGATAAATGTATGTATGTTTAGGGTGTCCCCAAAACAGTACTAATGGCATATTGGAGATAGATAGATGGGAGTGTATGTCTGTGAATGCAGGTTTAAAATATGTGTGTGTTATACATATATACATACACATACATACTTATATACATATCTATGTTAATATAAGGAAATTTAAAGTGCGAGAAAAACAATTAGATGGGAGGTGGAGCCCAAGTTGAAAGAGCAAAAGTTTTTGACAGAAATAGTAAACTTTAGGGGAGAAGAAAGCTAGAGTGGGCTGGTAGTTAGCCTTCTCTTAGGCATACTGCATTTGAGAAAAAGAAAGGCCATCTAGGCCTTTCTCCAAACCTACTTTCCTTTTTTCCATCCTTGCTAAGTAAAGTCTCATTTCTTCCTCTCTTAGGCCCAGGCATGACTGCCAATGTCACAGGTACTTACATCGATACAGGTAAGAGTTCTGTCCATTTTGCAGTTGAGGAAACAGAAGCCGATAGAGGTTAAGTGACTTAGCCAGGTCAGACACTCAGGAAGTATCCAAAGCTAGATTTGAACTCTGGTCTTCCTGACTCTCTCTACCCAGTTAGAGGTATGTTGGCTGTGTGACCCTGAAGAAGTCACCTAACTTCCCAGAGTTCTCCCATCTCACTCTAGGAAATACTCCTCTACAGTGTCCTGGGCTTGTGCTTGGCATCCTAGACCTGGAGATGGAAGGGACTTTAGGTGTTCTCGTTCACTTGCCTCATTTTAGAAATAAGAAATAAGAAAAGGGAGACTGACTCCAATTCTACTCCTTTTTTTTTTCAGGCACTTGGGGTTAAGTGACTTGCCCAGGGTCACACAGCTAATAAGTGTCAAGTGTTTGGTCTGAGGCCAGCTTTGAACTCCTGATTTCAAGGCCGGTGCTCTATCCACTGTGCCACCTAGCTGCCCACCACTCCATTTTTTAATACACATAACACCCATCCCATGAGCTGAGACTTGAAGGAAAGTAAGCATTCACATGAGGCAGCTAGGTGATGACATAGTGCACAGACTGCTGGGCCTCAGATCAGGAAGACTCATTATCCTGAGTTCAGATATGACTTCAGATACTAGCTATGTGACCCTGGGCAAAAAATAAAGTGGAATTAGAACTTGTTCGTTTTCTCATGTTGGAGGCAACAAAACCTCCCTCCCTCCATCCCAACCCCACTCTTTTGCCTCTCAGCTATGTTTTGGAGCCAGGGGAATGGGCAAGACTGTGCCCTGATTACTTTGTTGGCTCAGGGGAGAATGGTTTGGAGAAAGAAGAGAGAATAGAAGCAAGGAGATAAATTAAGAGGCTATGGCAATAGTCCAAGTGAGAGGTGGTGAGAGCCTAGCCAAGGGTGGCCATGTGAGCAGAAGGAATGGAGTATATAGGAAAGAGGCTGAAGTGGGAGAAGACACAAGTCTTGGTGACCAATTAGCCATGGACAGCAGGAGAGGGAATATCAAGGCTGAATCCAAGACTCCTGACCTGGAGGACTGGGTTCATGGTGGGGCACTCAACAGAAGGAGGGAGGCCTAGAGAAGGGTCAGATTGGAGAGAAAGACAAGGACTTTTATTTTACAATGCCTCTGAGATGCCTGTAGTACAAGCAGGTCCTTCCTCAGTACCTTTCTGCATTTTTTAGTCCCTCAGGTAAGTGAAGAACCACCTTTCCTGTGCCCTTATGAGTCTTGTTTCCACCTTGTCACAGGCAACTGCATCTCAGAAGGGGTGCCCTCTCTGAACAAGACCGAGGGAGATGATGTTCTGTTCCAGTTACACCTAAAAGTAGGAAATGAGACCCAGAGGATTAGATTGTATTTGGAACCTAGGAATCTGCTCCTACTCACCATCTATCCAGGGGAGAACAATTCAAGCAGGATCATTCCCCATAAGGAATATGAGGGGAGGCTGTCTGTCGCCGATGATAAGTCTGTGATATTATTGCATGTGACCTCTGAAGACAGTGGATGTTATGAAATTCACACATCATCAGTCTCAGGAAACATAAATATTCAGAAGTTCAATTTAACTGTCTTTGGTAGATGAACCACTTGCCCCCTTTTGGACCCTACTCTGCTGTCACATACTTGTACACTTTTAAAAGCTTCCTTTCCCTTCCTCTCTCGCCTTCAGACCTTTCCAAAACCTGTCTTCTCCTCCAACTTTGCCCCTTAGAAATGGAACTAGGGGCCTTTTCCTTACATAAGCAGAAAGTAGAGGACAGAAACCTGAGGCTAGAAGGCCTGTCCCAAGGTCACACACCCATGAGCCAATCCAAAGGAATGAATAGGACTGACTGAATTACAGACCTGCCTTTCCTGGAGAACTACATAAAGGTTACTGAACTACTCAGTCACTCAGTCCTTCCTCAGCCCTCCCCCTGGGAATTTCTCTGGACTGAAGAGGAGTCCCTGAAGGCTGAATGTGCCCGTGAAATGGTGAAGCAGGGACAAGGTCTCCTTCTGGGTGTGCCCATTCTGATGAGACAGAGGGGATGTGATATTGGGGATAAAAAGGTGTACTAGAGGAAGATGATTGGTGCTCACTGGGAGAAAAGGAAAGCTTTCAGGGGAGAAAATAGGGGACAATTCAGGGAATTTAGTAAATACTGTCACTCTAGAAGAGAGACACTCCAGATACTGCCTATTGTCAGTTTTATTCATAGCTTATCTGGTCATCCCTGTATCTCTGCCTTCTGTTCAAACTATGTAGGCCCTTTTCTCTCATTACCCTTCTTTCCATCCTTCCCCACCTGCACTTTCCTGGTCCTTGTTTGCCCAAATGTCAAAAAGTTCTATAAGGAGAAGAATCTCTGCTAGTCCCCCTTTCCTATTCCCTTCTCCTTCCCACTGCCCCTTGCTTTCTTCACATATTTGCCTTTCTAAGCCTCTATCCCACTTCTTAATAACACATTGATGCTGAATGATCCTGACTTATTGTTTTAGGGACTGTGAATTCCGAGTCTCACATGAACCTATGGATTGGGTTAGCCACTGGGATCAGCGTGGTCCTGCTAGCAATATATTTTTTCTTTGGAAAAATACCACAGCGTTTACTTAACAGAATAAAAGGTAACCCTAGGACAAGAGAGATTATGACTGTGCTGGGGCAATGGAGCTGGGGCAGAGAATTGCACTGGTTTTACTTTTTGGAGAAGGGAGGCAGGAGATGGGCCCTGAGCCTTGCGTATTCTCATCAGAGGCCTAGCTTCATGGGAGGGATGTGACCAGCCTGCTCCTGGACACCTCTCTTCTCATCTCCAGGCATCTACAGAAGAAGAAGAAACATACCACCAGTACCAAACGATATGGAGGAGAGAAGTCTAGAGGAAGGAGATGCAATTGTTCAGATGGCTTCCCTTTTAGATCAAGAAACACAGACAAGGACACAGGAGTAAGACATCTCCTTGCTAGCCATTCATATATATAGAGAAACAGATAGAGATGTAGATATAGCAAAGACAAGAATGAGGACTGTCAGGGGTAGGCAGAGAGAAGAAGATGATCTTGCCTCTTCGTCTTAGTTCTATTCCTTTGATTTTTTCATCTTCTAACTCATTTGCATAAATTTAGGGCTGAAAAAGTTGAGGGTGCCCCAATACTGAGAGCGCTTGATGCTTTTCGGGAAGGGTATCCTCTAAATGGACAGTGATAAGGTATACTTGAGCAATCATAAATGAAGCAGCAAGCCCAAAGAAATTCTGGGTATTTAAGGCTAGCAGCAGCCTTGAGGTCTTTTAAAGCAAAGAGCGTGGTTTTCTGACAGGTGCATGATTTTTGATTAATGGTTTGACAATATGAAGGTCATTTATGTAGAACTTTCTGTCCAGTAGGGCCTTGCCAGCTACAACCACACAAGACCATGAAGGAGTGATGCTGGCCACAGTCTGCACACCACAGGAAAGCAGCAGAGAACAGCCCAGACAGCAGCAGCAGGTGTCCACACTTTCCATTGATGGCGCATACTGGCGGCAGACTGTGCCTCAGGTAGAATTCTAGGGGAAGTGTCCTTACTTCTCTCTTAACTGACCACTTGGATGGCATTCAGCCCATTATCCTCATTCACCCGTCTCCCACTAGAACTCCACCCTCTCAATGCTGATCTCTAATAAGGAGCTTTCACTTCTTCTTATCCAGAAACAGGGCTCCAGGCCATTTCCGACCAGCTCTACAGAAGGCCACCGAACACTTCCTCTACCTCGTTCCAATTGTTCTTCATATATTGTCTTCTGACATTCACATGTAAACTCTCTGAGGGCAGTGTGAATGCCACGATAGACCCTGGTGTCTGGAAGACCTCCATTCAAATTCTGCCTTAGCACTTAATAACCTTGTGACCCTGGGCAAGTCACTTAGCCTCAGTTTGCCTCAGTTTCCTCATTTGTAAAGTGGGATTGTTAATAGCATCTACCTCCCAGAGTTGGAAAAAATGAGATATTTGTTTTTTAAAATAATATTTTCCACTCAATTACATGTAAAAACAAATTTTTAACATTTCATTTTTTTAATTTTGAATTCCAAATTCTATCCTTCCCTCCCTCCCTTCCCTTTTCTGAGACAGTAAGCAGTCTGATATAGATTATGCATATGCTATCATGTAAAACATATTTCCATATCCATCATTTTGTTGAAGAAAACTTGAGCCAGAAAAATAAAGAAGAAAGAAAGGAGGAAAGAAAATTAAAATACAGTTTGCTTTGGCCTATATTCAGATGCCGTCAGTTCTTTCTGTGGAGGTAGATAGCATTTTTTATCATGAGTCTTAGGGATTATCTTGGATCATTGTGAAGATGAGATAATATCTGTGAATCATTTTGCAAACCTTAAAGCACTACTAAATGTTAGCTGTTTTTACTACTAATATTGTTATTTGTATCTTAAGCACTTTGCCCAGTGCCTGCTGCAAACTGAGCACTTAAAGTCACTATCTACCTAACTCTCATTAAATATCTTTCCTTTGAACCGATTGTGTTTCTGCATGCCTAGAAAAAGTCAACACATTAATGGAGGCTGGTAATCTTGAGTGAATATTGGTAATCATTTAAGATCATTTGAACCCCAATAAGGGCCAAAGCCTGAACTAATCAACCACAAGAAGTTTGTTCTCTGAGTGAATTCAAAATGCCCTCTTCCTCTGTCAGCAATTACAGGACCAGATGAAACTGACCAACATTCTTCTGTTTATGACCACTAAGGTACCTTAGACCCAGACACTACCTTGAATAGTGAGACTTTTCTTATCTTGGCATCCTATGGACATATGTTATGTAGGGGAAACACAGATATTCCTGGGACTATAATTTCAATTGACACTTTGTTACTTCTCTTGTCTTATTGTATTGACAACCTATTCAACTAAGAAACTTCCTTTCTCAGGCTATATGTTAAAAACATATGGAGGCTATATTTTTTTGAGTGACACAGACATGCTGAGTCAGGATTGCTCTAAGGATATAAATTGTCTATTTCAAATTGCTTAAGTCAGTCAGAGTTAAAGCTCTGCCTCCATGTAATATGTTACATGTCACTAACTTGAGGGAATAAACAATATGAATTTACTTATCACCTAGCTTGTTGCCTCTTTAACCAACTTTTAGGTCAACAGAAATGGTGGCTTGACTTCAGATGAAACTGAAGGAGTAGGAAAAAACAACACCCCACCCTGGCAACACTAGTGGCTTGGGTGCCTCAGGATTCATTTTTTTCCTGGAGTTCTAACCTTGATGGGGTAGGGTAAGTTGTCCTATTCCCAGCTTCCATGGACCTCCCACTAGTTTGGTTGAAGTCCAAAAGAAAATTCCCTTTAAGCCAGCTCTGGGGTCAGGGATCATATTGAAGTTCAGAAATTCTGGCTACTGTATCACTTAGGTCCCCTCAGGTAAGGATCAATCTAGAGAAATTGGTCAGAGACTAAAACTAGAAATCCAGCTAACAAGACTTCTGTGTCTTATATGTCATATATATTATGTCATTGCCAATCTGGTGATCACAAATATTGCCGGCACTGATGTCAGTTAACTAAAGGTAGCCCCGAATTGTGTTGGCCTCGATGGGGTTTTTTTGACTGGTCAAAGTTACCTTATCTTAAAACCAAATTAAGTTTAAAGGTCAACAAAATATCTAGCCACGAGCGGGAATGTTTTCATTGTTGGGTTGCTGAGATGGCTGAGGGAGAAAGAAAGGCAGAAGCCTCTTCCCTGAAGGCTTGAAAAGCCACTTCAGCAGTCTTTCTCAGGCTCCTCATAATCCCCCTTCCCCTCTCTTTTCCCTTAAAGGCTGTGGTCCTGATGGGGTCTCAGATCCCCGAACTTAACTTCATTGGTATTTGCCCCTTTAAATGTGCAACCTCAGGGGCACTCTGAGGAAGCCTTGCGAGATCCTGTTACACTATCAGGTCTTGGATCCTTGCAAATTCCCCAACCCCCCTTCCTCAAAATAATAATAATAGCCAATTTCGTGTTCAGAGATTCCTAACAAGCCTCTAATTCTCCCTCTTTCTGTTATTAAGTGCACACTATATTTGTATTGTATTTGTCCTGTCAATTTCTCTGTCAGTGTATGTCTCCATGTCATGTGTGCTGTGAGTAAGTCTATAACCTTGCAAGGTTTAAAGTGCCAGCAGCCAGAGACTTCTAAGGACTCCAGCTAGGAAAACAAACCAACCAACCTGTAAGACTCTTTTCTTTACAAATCCAGGTCTGGCTAGCCTAGACCTACAGTGAAAAGTTAGATACAGCTAAGACATCCTAGCATATTCTGGAGATTTTGAGATCAATCATTAAGAAGTTTGGAAATTGATCATTTTGGGATTGTTGAAGAAAACTCCTGAGACTAAAGATAGTTCCAGGAGCTCACTTTCTGCTAAAACACCTCCTCCCAATCCTGATTTCTCAGCATTCCCCACTCCCTCCTCAGAGATAAGTATCTCAGTATGGGGACTGTAAAAGAGAAGAGAATGCTGGAGAATTGTAGGGAAAACTTAAATCAGCCTTCCCCATCTGGCAAAAGGAGGGGAGGGGCAGCTATGACAGACTTGCAGTGGCCCTAACAGCCTTGTGCCCCTGGGCACCTTGCAGCCCACCCCTCTAGGCAAGGCCTAGGAGTATCATCCAAGTTCAATACATTCTGTCCAGCCTGCCCCAGCAACTGCAAATGGCACCGGCCTCAGTAAATGCTACAGCTGTGGGAAGGGGGAAAGTAGACGGGTCAGAACTGTGATGAGATTCCCTAAGCCCTGCACCAAGAATTATCACCACTGGCAAGGCCTGGCGTGCCGCTATGAGGTGAGAGGTCAGCCAGCCTTTGCTCTTGGTAAGCCCCACTTCTCTGCTCCAGTTTTGGAATTTATGGCAAGTTATTTTATCTTTGCCCTGTTTCCAGATTTGTAAAGGAAAAATAATGGTGGTTGTTACAGGATCAAAATGATATAATGATTGTAAAGTGCTTAAAACAATGACTGGCATATGTTAGACAACATTATTATTATCTCTCTCATTTAATGTAATTCTTCCATACCTGATAACTTTGAAGTGGTTTTTTAAATACTAAGAGTAATAAGATCAATAATTTCTATATGTGATAATCTGGAAATGCAACTGACATCATTTGAAGTTTATTGTTTGTGTTATTACTATATTTCTAAAATTGTATTGTATTTCAGAACTTTCTTAAACTGTAAAATGTGAGAGACCATTGTGAGGTAGAAATGGTATTAAAGCAATTTTTTACTCTGGATTTTGTTCTATATGAATCAGTCTTTTAAAAGGATGTGATGAAAATGAGATAATTTGAAAACTTAATATTTAATGAGGTATATTTGGTTATAAGCAGGTAATAATAATACTGATATTTACTATGACAGCAGATTTTTCATTTAAAATCTTGACTATTGTAAAAATATATGGTGGTTTAAAGTTATAGTTTCAACATATTGATGATGAGATGACTGATTATCTGTGCAAAATGATTTGGAAGTGCATTCATCTAAATTGATAATGGGTTGTTTCAAAATTTTTTTTTACTATTGTGGAATACTTGTTTATACTGTGTGTCCTATGGCACAAACATTTTATTGTGAACAATGTATTGATATGCACTGTTTTGGAATTAATTAGGTGTTCTCCCATATATCAGGGCCTCAGTTAGAAAAAAAAGTGTGAATTTATGGATAATAATGTTTTCTTTTAAAGTGCTAAGAGTATTGGAAGAAATTAAAATGTTACCATTAGTGATTATGAATCCAGATTTGATTTGCTCATCCAACTAAATTAAAGTCATCTGATGGTAATTAATTGGTCCTGTTTCAAGTTTTAATACATGATAATTGCTTATGGTATGCTTATATTTCTGAATTTTCTTATGTAGTATAATCTGGTAAACAAATTGTATCAGCTACACTGTTAAAAAAGAAATTTCTCTTATAATCTAGAGATGTTAGATCAAGAATTATACCGTCCCCCAATAAGGGAGAATGAGTGGGTTAAAATAAACTTCCAACTTTTGTCTACATTTGAAATTCTTATCAATTCTGTGTAAAAGTGTCCTGTGTTGTATATTTCCTACTGAGTAAATGAGAATCCTTGGAGAAAAAAAATATATATTGATATTGATTTTCCAGCCTGCTTCATCTAAGGATATGTTTGTATATGTCGATTTGGAGATTTATGGACTATCACATTCACTATCTATATGAGATTCCAAAATGTAATTATTATCCAGTGATATATTTCAACACAAAGGAAAGAAAAGATACTGAGTAAGTTGTTTAAAAAGACTTGATAATATTTGTTATTGTGATAAAGCTAATTTAATTGGGTATATTCTTTATGGCTTATAAAAACTGAATTTCTTCTCCATTACAAACACTTTTTTGACGAAGGAACTTTGTGATATCTGGGAATTCTGTAATAACTAGGAATTTAGTTTGTTATACTACTTTGGGAATTTATTTATGTTACTTAAGGATATTTTACACCAACTTAATTTTAATGAATTCCAATTTTAAATGTTTATTTTTACTTTAGGTGGAAAAGAGAGATTTCTACCATTTTAAAAGTTTCCAACTAATTTTCCTCTATAAAAGTTTAGTGATTATTCCTCTTAACATCAGAATAAATTGTAAACTTTTTAAAGAAGGGAAATACTTTTAGAAGAACTGTTTTGAAAAAAAATTTCTTGTTTTGATATTTTTTGAAGGCCTACTAAATTTTCATTTGCAGGATAACTTATTGTTAAATTACTATACTGAGCTGTAAAGCAGAAGAAATCTTGCTGTTTTGATCTGAATTTGTAGTCATTCCATGGCCTAAGCAAGAGTTAAATTGGTATTTGAACTTATCATATGTGTAAGATTCAAATCCTGAAG